GTCATGTACTGCAGTCGTGCCGTCCCCCCCCCCCCCCCCCTTCCTTCTTCTTCCACTTTATCCAGTAGCTAACTACTATAGGAATTACATCCCCTTGCTTATACAGACTGCTCAAGAAAAGACTATGGTTCCAACATTTATCATGGAATCCTGCCTTTAAATCTGCTTTGCTTGCCCCCACACGTCATTCCGAACACTGTTCCCACTCTACAAATAGCTTCTGTACAGCATGTATGTAAGCCACTTGTGACCTGCATGAGGCTGCAAATGTGCTGTTTCACAGCAATCACGTGCTTATTCACTCTCACTCCTTTTGACTGTTCTGTACTAAATATAACTGGTAAAAAGAGAAAATAAGAGAAACGTGAAGGTGAGCTACCAGAACAGACACAATTATAAAGGCTTCTGGGAATCTCATGGGCACACTGAACTGCAGCAGATTTTCATTTTTTTGGAATAGTATTTCTCTGCAGTGAACTTCCACTTATCTCCTGCATCCACTCCTTTCCTTCTAGTAATGTCATTTAGAGGTTTCAGATTTCTAACTTAAGCTTTTCAGAGATTGGAATTCTATTACAAGTCCCATTTCTAACAGTCTGTACTGATAAAACAAATGAGGAGAAGCTGTGATTAAAAAAAGAGGAGTGACTGACAGAGTGGAAAGCATATTAAGTAATTAGTCTGTAAAAATTTAATAGGGGGTAAATAATCCAGAAAATCAATTATGCTCTAATGTTCACAAGATTAAAATATTTGTTTACATTTGAAGTGACAATTTATAAGATTCTACTTCTAGCAAGATTGTAAACTCATAACTTAAACGTGTGTTAACTTCAAATTCTAACAATCCCTTATTTCTCTCCTTGATCTTCCATTTTAACATCCCCACCCCCCGGAAAAGTTACTTTTTTTGCCAGCAGCTCAAAACAATCAAGATAACCCTTAGATGTCTCTTCCCCACAAATTGCAAAACAAAAATCTGTCAATCTACCATTTCACTAGCCCGGACTACATGGTTTTTAATAGCGATACACACATTAACTTTATTCTCCATCATGCTTAGAGCAAACAAATTGTGTGAACTGATAACTTTTACAGTTTTGAAAGGCTGTGTCGGGATTGCCCAATTCTATTGTAGAAATTTCAACAAACAGATAAAGGCTTATAACCCAGCTTGTGTGCCCAATACTTAGTGCCCTTTAAAGTGGGCAAACAATACCATTGCCTATATTGTGTCATGAAAAGGGATGGTCTGCTTGACTCGTTCACAAATGTTTTTAAATTGAATTTAACAGACATATGAAATTGTACTTTTGTCACTGAAGGGCCTTTTTGAAGATGGATGGAATCCTTTGGGCTTCTGAGGATGAATTTTGTGTGTGTGTGTGTGTGTGTGTGTGTGTGGACAGAATTGTGTTAATGGTCTGGTAGGATATTATGTTAACCTTTTATCTACTGTTGATATAGTAGTTCCAAAACACCCCTTTCTTGACTTTATATTCACAGGTCACTGTGGTGTTCTAATTCACTTTACTAGTCATAAGTAATCTAGTTCACCTCCCTATAGTAGTGGAAGGAGAGATTACTTACCTTGTACATTAAGTTCTTAGAGATGGGTCCCCCTATGGCTGGCCCCCTACCCACCCCCCCTCTTCACGGCCTTTTTGCAG